AGGTGCAGCATTTTCTTGAGAAGCAGTATCTTGATACTAACAACTCAAAATAATAAAATACTGCGGTTGCCAAGCGGTTTATGTATTTTTTTTTATAGGATAGGGTGACAAACGAGCACACAGTCCACCTGATGGTAAGTGGTTGCTGTGGCCCATAGTCATAATTTATCCTTAATAAAGAATCAAAATGCAGATGCATCGTCACCCGTGAGGACTAAGATGGAATGCCTCTTTTCCAGTAAAATGGGTATCCGGTTCTCTACACTCACCATACGAACCACTGTAGTGTCAAGCTGCCATTTTACGTTGGTATTCTGTGAGAGCGTGGTGCTTCCCACGAGTAGAGGTATAAAGAAGAGTTATTTCATCTCGCTCTTTGTATGTTGTAAGAGTTTATTTAGAGAAATGCTAAAATGAAATGCTTTGACACAAAATAGAAAATGCATTTTGATTAATGCGATCTACCTGTCATACCTTGACAACAAAGTTGCCAAGAAATGCGACCTAGTGACCACATTATTATCGTGTGCTTACTTTAATACTGCATTTTTTAACAATTCATCATCATCGCTAACACGACCAAACACTAGTCCACTGCTGAACCCACAGACTGTCAAAACACGGTCCTGAGCCCGAGCCACCTGTACCCATAGTCTTCCTGCATGTCTTACCAGGTCGTCACTTTATCTACTGGAGTTCTTCCACGTAGAACATTTCTTGGTGTTTCCTCGAGGTATATTCTATGCAGCCCGTGGACACCTAAAAGACCAAATTCAAGCAAGGAAGGCTCGGATACATAATACACAGCACTGAATCCACAACTGCTTACAAGTAAAAATAGATACGAAGGTGGTTGCATTCCAGAGAGACACCAAGGAGAACCAAGGTTTACTCCTAAAATAAAGTAATATCTCTATTCTCCCAGGTAAGGTGTATTTCGAAGCGGATGGATTTGCCTAAATCAGTTATGTGGTAGTAGTTACCGACTTCCTTTTGTTTTCTAACCCCTACAGTTACCCAGGTAAGTAAATTAGTAGGCACATTCAGCTGTGGACTTTTGTGGGTTGATAAAAAGAAGCAAACTACTTCTAGACGATACCCTCTTTCACAACTGGCGTAAAAGTCCCTACACCATCGCATATTCGATAGTGATACTGAAAGGCTAGACATTCTGTAGGCTACAAAAGCAATAAGTCAAGTAACGCACAAATAACTGGATTGCAGCCAAGTTGTTGGACAATGTTACATGTCTGATATAATAAAGGATAAAAAACCAGGCTTGAATGAACATAGCAAGAAGATCTATTGAAAAATAAATGCTTAAAACTGACCATGGCAGGGGTAATATATACTGACTCTTAAATCACACAAAATAATTATAAATTTCCACTGATATATTCTGTGGTAACTAATTTAAGCCCGAGCTCGCTCCTAGTTAAATGACAAATTATTTTTAGAAGTTGTCTCGTGTTACTCCTGTAGGAGCCGAGGCATTATACTGCAACTACTTGACGTGTCAGATGTGTCTCAAATTAACATACTAATAATAAGTAATTCAATTTTAACTTACACAGAACGAAATGATATGTGATAGTCTTAGAAAGACAAATTGTATATTTATTATAGTTTTATTTATAAACTAGCTTTTACTCGTGACTTTATCTACGTGAACTTAAAAATACCTGCTCACAGTTACGTTGTAAATTGGTGTTGAACTAAAAAAAAATTAAAAATTTATTTTGTATCAAAACTTTAAAGAGATAGTATAGCGTGCGCATTAAAATCGGTTGAAATAATGCATTACCACGCATTTTGAATTTAAAAGATAAAAAGGACAGAATTATTGAGATTTTATTAATTTAATTTTTCATCACCATTTTCCTATTTATTACTTATTCGGAACCTTCTTTGCAAATTTGGCCGGTTATTGCAATATAACCCTGATGAATAAGCCAAATTACAGAATTGTATCACCCTAGAGTCTTTTAGTAAAACCGCGGACGGACGGACATAGGACAACTATAAGGGTTCCTTGTTGTTTAACTACGGAACCCTAAAAATTATCATTATCATACAAATGAGCCGCTAAGCTTCATAGACATTTCAATTTTATTTATATGTGTATAGACAACTGGCTTTCTTTCCGTATGTTCATAGTCCTTTTATTAAGCATAGGTGCGAAAATAACAAGTTATAGGTATATTTTCTAAATGATTCTGAGAGATGACTACATATTTGTGCCATTTGCTGTATTAGACTATCGGTCCGTGGGGTCCACGTGCGGTGAAGTTCCTAAAGGAACTCCATCCGCGGCTGGTCGTTGCTGCTGGTGATTAGAGGGCTGGTTCTTTTCTCGCTCAAAGGCTAAGTATAGCCATTCAGCGGGGAAACGCAGCCAGCGTTCTTCGCACGATACCGCTGGGAGTAGGACTATATGATAATTAAGTTTCTAGTTTTAGTTTTTTTTTTTATTATTATTATAGTTTTTAATATTGTATAGTTTTAGATGATATAAATAATTACAAACTTTTCTAAATAAAGTTTTATATTCCTAACTCACTTCAAAAAGTATAACATATTCTACAAGGAAAATCTAACGCATATAAGTTCTTAATATTCCATACACGTACGTGTCGCTTGATTGCACACTCATAGAGTAGTTATAAAATCACCTTTTATTAAGTATCATTATTTATATTTTATAAAATATAAAGAGAAGAAAAATAAAAGAAGATATACTCGTATAACATATACAATTCTTGTAAAGCACGGGTTAGAGATCAAGTCCCAGCCAGTATTTGTTTAATACAAATGTAACTCATGAAATGTTCTTTGTTTTTATAGTGTAGAGTAGGAAGGTATGTAAAATAATATCTTATTGAGTAATAGGCATGTAACATTACTGACTAAACATTCAATTACTTAAGAATCTTAGCCAAGTTTGCTCAACATACAAATAAAACTTATAAATTGTTGATTGATACCTTTATCTGAATATGATGTGATTGTTCCCATGACTCTGACACTGCAACTGATTTTCGTCGCTGTGAAAGTGACTGACGAGTTTAATAACATAATATACCATTTTTACATTTTTAAATAGCCTGCAAGCTATACGAGCCCTATTTATGAGTGGTTACAAATTTCTCACAAATAATTGAACAATTATAATTAAAGTATTTCGACCAAAAAATTCTTCCTATAAGTCCACAAACAGTAATCTGAAATCTATAAAAATAAAAGTCATTAAAAATTAACGTATAAAATTACGTTAACTCTATTCATAAAAACGGCAATTTCATAGCTAAAGACGTATAATAAGACGGAATAAGTCTTACCATAATGTGCTTAAGAATCTTTGCCAAGCCTAGGGCGTTTGTTAGTTAATATACAAGCGTTAAATTAGAAGATGAGACGTGGGATCACGCGATAACCTGACCCTAACAGATTATCACGTTTACGGAGTACACTACATTCGCTATTTATTTTGTGTAGATGTTTGTCTACGTAATGTTATTTATTATTCTACTTTAACACATTGCGATAATATGCTAGTTATAGTAGGTACGATGTTTGTGAATGACGAATTCTGAAATAAGTAATATTATTATGGGCTTAGTTCAAAAACTGAGAAATTGAGTGTCGCCGTAACTCCAGCTGTGGGACCCTGACCGCCGCGCCGCGCCAGTGGCCTGTGTTGCTCTATGAGTGAAACCCACAATTATCATTCGTACGTCATACAAAAAATTGTTCCCTGATGGAATCGATCCCGCGCTATTTACATAGCGTGCTCTACCAAGCCGTCAATAAATAGTAAATGCGCACGAGTTAAAGTATTCTGGCACTTAATAATAAATACTTTAAGTTAGCAATTCTTGTACATAATTGTAATATAATTAATTTCTCGGAAACGACTCTATGATATGATATGATAAAATATGATGTTTTACTTTCCATGTTTATGTAGATAGGTTTCATCTCTGAAAAAAATATATTTTTTAACGCCGAGCAAATATCGGTCGCCCCGATATTTATTCATTAAAAAAATATGGCTTCAACTTAACATAAGGTCGTAGTAATCTGCAGCGCTAGTTTTCTGTTGGAGCTTGGAGCCTTATGACTTCACGGATCAGCTCGTGTTTCATATTAAAATTACTGTAAACTTAAACATTTGATTTATAAATTAAACATTGCGTTACGTTATACTATTCTTCTATGGTTGTTGGTTACTCATCATATTGATTTGATACCTGATGCTGTCGAGTTACGTAGTGTCATGAATTCGTAAGCAACAACATAGGAATCACTTTTTGCGTGCTGCAGTTATATAAGTAGTATAGTTGTAGCACGAATGGATCGGGTTGACCGGGGAAATACCACGCTCTCACAGAATACCAGCGTAAAATAGCAGCTTAACACCGCTGTGTTTCGTATGGTGAGTATAGAGAACCGGAGACCCTTTTCACTGGAAACGAGGCATTCCATCTTAATCCTCACGGGTGACAACGCATCTGAATTTTGATTCTTTATTGAGGATAGATGTGGATGTCTATGGGCCACAGCAACCACTTACTATCAGGTGGACTGTGTGCTGGTTTGTCACCCTATCCTATAAAAAAAGCATCAATATTGGGCTAGGAGAGATATTAAGCCAATTAATGTAAGATCACGGCGTAGAATATATATTGTAGTTATTTTACTTAACACCGTTACAGCCTATTAAAGCGCACTGCTGAACATAGGCCTGCCCCGTAGGTTACTTCATAGAGGTGATATTGGCCGTAGTTGCCACGCTTGGCAAGCGGGTTGGCAACCACAGTTTATTTTTTATTTTTAGTCGTTATTAGAAAACGCTGCTGCCCATCTCCTGATTTGTTCCCTCTCTCGCCTCTTACGACACCCACAGGATGACATGCGGTTACTTAATATAGTTAACAAAATTATTCCTATTGAAATTGAAAGTAACTAAAATTCTAACATAAATATCATTTTTTCCACAGAGACTTTTGTCGTTGACTGTCACGATACTGGTGATATGGAGCCCGTCGGCACGCTGTCGCAATGTCACGTAAGTAATCATTCATCTTCCGTTTTCGTCCCTTTGATATATTTATTACAACTGGCTTAACTGGCTTGTTGTTGTAAACATTACTGCTCTACTAATCAAGTGGTCCCAAATGTGTGTGGTGTGGTTCCAAAAGCCGTGTTGGGCCAAAAATCGGTAATTGGGTCATTCTGTCAAGAAACTCTAAGTAGGACCGTGAAGTCAGGAAATTGGTGGTGTTTCCAACTTGTAACTCCAGTGCTACGGAAAATACTACTAATATTAAAATCTTTGTTCCTGCGCTCCTGCGCCTGATCTCTCTCCGGTAGTGTCGGATTGCCGTCCCATCGGGTTATGAGAGTGAAGTAATAGAGAGTACACTTGTGCTTGCACACACACTCGTCATTATTATCCTATATCGGGCATACGCTTAATCTCCGTTGAGACTGCCACCGAAATTTTGTCTGTAGAATATTGTATATAGATACCTATTATTTAGATGTAGAAATAGATGGTAAATTATAGACACCTGATGAAAATGAAGCTTCTTTTAAAATAAGTAGTAAATTTTTATTAAATTTTAAAACAGACTTATAACCCTTTATTAACTTATAAATCGACACGTTCGTTAGAACGCGAGCAGGAAAAGCCGTATCATTTCGAGAGATCTTCGTAATGGTATTCATCATCTTTTTCATCAGTATGCGAGAGTCCACTGCTGGTCAAGCACCTCCCTCGCTGTTGGGATAATTTGCCATAGTCACCACGCTAAGCAGATGGATTGATAAAATTAATTTGTTCCAGTAGTCAGTTTGGGATATTGTAATGAAAATCGTCGGGGTCACCTCGACAAAAATTACAGTATAAAAATTAATTTGAATTTACAAGAGGTCGCTCCACAACTGACGCACATATTACTAAATAGTTTACGTAAAATAGTTGACTGACGTCGGTGTTGAGTAGGTTAAACATATGTACTGTATATTTTGTGATCTTTTCAAGGGTTTTGTCTGTGTTAACTATGACATATTAATCAGGAAACTACAGCATTATAATAAAGAGAACATTGCTCTTATATTATACTTATATACTAACTGACCCGGCTGACGTTGTTCTGCCCTTTCCGACGACCATTTGCTTTCCTAAAAAACTCCTGAGATTAGCAATAAAAAAATTCAGGGTCACTTATCGGGATAAAAACTATCCTATCTCTCAAGTTGGATCAAACTGCACACAGTGTGCAAAATTTCATTGAAATCAGTTCAGTAGTTTAGGAGTTCATCGCGGACAAACAACGTGACACGTAATTTTTATATATAAAGATTAAACTTATTAATGGTAAAAGTTCTTCCTGTGTTAATTTGTATTCCTTAGAGCCCAATTCTCGGCCCATGCCTATTTCTAGTCTATATTAATGACTTACCTTTCCTTCGTCGTTTGTAATGCGTACAGCAAAGGACTGGAATATTTTGCTGGCGTTTATCTTTCCGTCCGAATACAATCTGGGCGTCTTCAAGGCAAGAGTGAGTAGGCTTTTGTTACGCTAAGACAGTGCGATTTACCATCTAGGGCTGCATCACCACTTACCACCAAGTGGGATTGGAATAATTAATATTATTATTAAGTGGTGATAATAATTATTCTTCATAGTATACTGCTTCACAATATGTTGATGCGTCACATTGTGCAGCCCTTGGGAGATTTTAACGGTAACTTGAGCCAGCAGACAGCTGACGGTTTGCACAAACCAATGGGTTTGCACACTTTTACAGCAATCATGAAAATATGACGAAGTGAATAATGCCATATCAAAATTAGTACATTGACTTAACGTTAACAATCTACTTTAAAACGTTATTAAAAGTAAATGTATCAAATATACAACACTAAATTTTAAAAATCTGCTGATTTTTTTTTTAGAACAGAGTAAAGAAAAATACTCCCGGGGAACCCACTTCGTTGATTCCCCTCTTTTTCGTGATATTACTCTCAATGCAAATCTTCAGTGGGGGTTACCATATACATATCTAAACTAGAACGTAGACTAAGCTCTGCAGCTTAAGCTGTAAAAAAGATTAGAAGTCTCACTAGTGACGAGAGAGCTAGTTTTTGTTACATTTCTGTTATTTCCATAGCATGATAATATTTTACTTTGCTATGCGGAAGTAACTAACTTGGAAACTATTTTTGCTTTCAAAATTGGGCCATACGCGCTATTTTTAACTTAGATTCGAAAAAAATTTCAAGGAAAGAAATAAGTATATTAACTTTGGACTAGCTGCGTTAGAGATTCCGATTCGGAATCTCGAACGCAGCTAGTCCATATAAAATCTATGACCCGCCACACACGTACGGTAGTTTTCCATTCGATATTTTGCGGGCAAAACGGGATTCCGTATGTGTGTGGCCGACCCGTTCGGAATTCCGAAACGGAATCTCGAAACGGAATTCCGTACGTATGTGGCCGGCCTTACTCGACTACACGTCGCCCGTAATTCATGCATGGGCCAATGTACATAAGTATATAACAAAGTCCCAGAAAATATACAAGATCAAGTTTAATTTGCATATTCAACACAGCCTCTAAAAAGTGTTATTATAATATACGTGATAGCTTCCAAGTTGTTTCAGAAATGAGTTTTGTAAGTTGTACAAGCTCATCTTTTTTGTTGTAAAATGCTAATTTGGCAATTTTGGGTTTCTTACTGGTTATTCCTAGAACTTTTTTCTGAACTAGTAAATTAAATAATATTCTATTCTATTGGGAAATGTGAATGAAGAAAAATTCTACATGGCTTAACCCAACCATGCTCCTCTTCTACGAGGGCGACACCGAAAGTTTTTATAACTGGTCACTTGTAAATTGTAAACGATAGGTATAATAAAAAAATTAGTTCAAATTTTTAAAATGGAACTCTTTGCCAATATTATTGTGTATGTATTTTATCAATTTGTCATTTGTTTACGATTTGGCGGCAAATTGAAAATTTTCTTTGTCACGTCAGCATGAATTTAACGTGAGAAAATTTTCGTTCAATGATTTTTTATGACTTTCGATGTCATTTAAGGCAACAAGAAAGTTATGATAGACTTCGATTGGCCTTTCACAATGAAGCCCCATCTCGTGCCATTGTTTACAACTGGCTTAATGAGTTTAAACGTGGTCGCACTAATCTCACCGATGATCTGCGTGAGGGACGGCTTTCTACGGCGACAACTGAAGATAACATCAGTGTTCTGCGGCGTATGATAGAAACTGACAAAAGAGTGACTTATCAGCAGATTTGGACAAGCTTAGGTATCGATATGAGTCAAGTGCACAAAATCCTTTTTTTTATAGGATTAGGTGACAAACGAGCACACAGTCCACCTGATGGTAAGTGGTTACTGTGGCCCATAGACATCTACAACTATCCTCCATTACGAATTAAAATGCAGATGCGTTGTCACCCGTGAGGACTAAGATGGAATGCCTCGTTTCCAGTAAAAAGGGCCTCCGGCCACCTGCACTTACCAAGCGAAACGCAGCGGTAAATCTCTAGCCCGTAGACGTGGAATTACTAGGTCACCCGCCCTATAGCCCGAACCTCGCACCTTGCGATTTTTATTTATTTCTGAAAATAAAAGAAAAACTTCGAGGAAAACGTTTTATGGACGCCGAGGAAGCCGTGGCTGCGTTTCAAAATACCGTCGAAGAGACCCCTAAGGACGAGTGGGGAAAAGTGCTTTTCTCAGTGGTTCCATCGGATACAGCGATGTATTGATGTAAATAGACACTATTTTGAAAAGATATAATAAAACTAATAACTAGCTAGTTTGTTCAGTTTGTTGATTTTCTAAGAACTTTCAGTGTCACCCTCGTACCTCGGTACAGTTGGCAATTATGTCAAAAGGATTTATTTGTGTTTTGCGTGAGAAAACACCTAGTTTTACTGACAATTTCCTGTTTCTCCGATTGGATAAGGTAGAACGAACTTTAGAGTAATCACGTTCCAGCCTTTAAAACAGTTAAACGTAATAATTAACGTTCATAAAATTGTTAGAACACAACAACCACACGCCGAAGTTAAGTCAGTCGGGGCAGTTAATTATTTATGAAATGGTTTCTGTAACACAAAACATGCACTCTAATGTTTAAAGTGAGTAAAGTTACAGAATGTGTATGACATAGGCATCCACTCGTTTCTGATCTGGTTTTACGAGTAGAGGAAATAGTCTGATGGCCTGTTATTGTTGCTCAAAAATTAAGCCTTGAATGTGCATAATTTAAAAAGGCTTATAAATACTTTAGATGTTTTGTGCTAAATAAGAATGATTTTTATTCAAGCGCTTTTGTAACCCACAGCTAAGCGTACTTTTAAGCTGACATCTTATTTTTTATAATAAAACGTTGTAGGGCTTGGCCACCTTACAGTCCCAACGGTATGGCGGTTCATAAAAGGGCGGCCCATTGTTAGTATTCCGTTCATTGTATTCAAATTACTTATTCATTGAGATAAGTCTGTACCCACCCCGGAAATTTCATTCCAGATTTCACCACAAGCAGAAAATTTTAAGATGGCTCTTATTATGTTAAAAGCTATAGGTATCATGACTGAGTTCCGTGGACACACTTCAGTGGCACTACTCCAGAGGCGTGGAGCAGAAGTGCGGTGGTCTTGTTCTTCAAGATATGCGACAACGCTCTCTTGTAAAACTACAGACCGATTTCCCTTCTGAGCCGAGTCTACGTGCTGTTTTCGAGAGTCATTACGAATTCCATGCAGACTCGACGACTTCCAGCCTCCCGAACAAGCCGGTTTCCGAAAAGGCTTTAGCACCATAAACCACATACATACCCTTCGGCAAATTGTACGAATGTCCCAGGAATACAATTTGCCACTATGTCTGGCGTATGTGGACTATGAGAAAGCCTTCGATTCCGTTGAAATTTGGGCGGTGCTGCAGTCCCTTCAACGGTGCAAAGTTGACTGTCGGTATATCGAAGTGCTGAAGGGTTTGTACAGTAGGGCTACGATGGCTAT